ATAGGTCATCACAACAGAGATAGGAACCACACAATACATTTCCTGTGTGTTATCATTCAATATGCTTCTGCCCCAAGATAAACATGTGTAACTGTTGTTCAAATACAGATGAATCTGTCAAAACAGGTGTTGCTGCTGTGTTTTCCTGATAGGTGCTGATTCATGTGGGGAGGAAATGGGACCTCTGCTGGTTTGTTTGTGGGAATGCAAGTCATACCACATCTATATGGAACCTTTTTCTAGCACATTTCATCTGCAAAGCTTAGAAAATAAATCAGGATATTTAGTTATTTAGTAAGACTAATAAATAAAATAATTTTTAAACATTTAAAAACCGGGCGGATAAAGATACTACAAAGGTAAAGTAGTCAGTCAGTTTACAATTATTTTCTTAGCCACAATCCTTTTGCATTTATATTTAATCAAACATCTGAAATCAACTTAAAAATCTCTTTACTCTCATATAAACTTCTATTGATCCAATTCAGTAAGATATAGAATATAAAAGAAAAACTGCATTGGACACAAAGACATTATTGCAACTTTATTGGTCATTGTTGTATCACAAAGGTAGTCTTTTGGGGGGATTTCTTATTAGAACTCTTCCAGTTTTGTATCAAAGACAGTCACAGATTAGCATTGCATTCACACATCATACTGGGGTGCAACTAAAAGGCTGCTATTCATTCTTGTGAGTGAGAGGGTCAGTACAGAGGAGGGGGCAGGGACAGTGTACGAGCTAACGTGTGTTTAATCATTCCGACGGATCACACTATCTAACATTAGCGAATCCTAGATAAGGGCTCAAAACATGTTAGTCATGTCTGGAAACTGACCTGAGAATGCCATAACATTACAACACATTAACATAAATGGGACATCTCTATGAATGAGAGATACATGTGCAACAGTATAGACAAAACAGATATAAAAGATAATCCTTACCAACAGTTTACCATAGAGTCAAATATTGACCTGATAAAAGATTCTAAACTGAGAAAAATCATCTTAGTTCAGTGGAAAAATACAGTGAGTCAATATGAGAATATCAAAAAGACAGGAAAAGAAAACAGGTAAAGAGGTAAACTGGTTTGAAAAAACAACTGTGAAGTAAGATAAGGTACAAGAGAGGCAGTGAAAAAGCCATTGAGAGATTATTTGAAGCGCTTTAGTTTTCTCTCCCTTTCATCTCGACTTGCTCCCCTGGAGCGGATGGGGGGAGTTGGAGGGGTGTCGGTGCCTCCCAGCCAGTCCCAGTGAGAGAAGAACGGGGCGAAGTGAGTGTTGGGCCGCCGGTGGTGAGCATCATGCTTGGGTGCGCCGCCCCAGAGGCCAAAGGGCACCACGTTGTTCATGGACCAGGGGAAGTCGTAGCCGCAGTGGTCCTCGGTGGAGATGTAGATGTTGAGGACCATGAAGCCCCATGTTGTGAGGCAGTGGCACTGCAGCAGGAGGGGGTCAATTGTGGTCCAAAACCCCACGCTGAACAGCTCCCAGCCGGACATGTACTGTGTGACGAGGCTGAAGGGCTGGTGGTAGCGGTGGTGCACGGCGTGGAACATGTGGTACAACCATGGAACCCGGTGGTGCAGGAGGTGCCACAGGTAATACTGGGAGTCAAAGACAATCATGCAGGCAAAGATGCCCAGGAAGAAGCTGCACAGAGTGGGGGCCTCGCAGGGCAACGGGACGGGGGGTCTCCACAGCCACTGGGCAACAGCAGCGGGGAAGATGTAGAGCAGATGGTTGTAGATGGTGACACCCAGTGTTGTCCAGATGTCAGGCCAGGTGACCGGGGTGTCCGGATGGAGCCTGTAGCGGTTGATGCATGGCCAGGTGGGGGCCAGCAGGTCAAGCATGGTGTAAAG